GCCCCTGACAAGATCCAATTTCCCTTCAAGATGGTGAGATTTCCCCATCCAAGCCTGTAGGTAGCTCCGGGAAGGGACCTAGCCCCGCCGTGGGTGCTTCCCTGTCGGGCACCCTGGTCAGCGGCCCCCCAGTTTCTTCTGGTGTTTGGCTGTCTCTTGGCTTGCTAATAAATACTCTCAGCATAACCCTCAGCTGCTCTCTCTTTCTGCTTCGGGACAAGGCTCAGAATCCACCTATATTCTTCCGCCATTTTTGTCTCCTGTCAGCTGATTTCTCAACAGAAACTATGCAGGCTAGATGGGAGTGGCAAGAAATATTCAGTGATGAATAGCAAGAACCTACAACCAAGATGACTCTACCCAGCAAAGTTATCATTCAGAATTGAAGGTCACATAAAGAGCTTTCCAGATAAGAGAAAGCGAAAGGACTTCATCACTGCCAAACCAGTAGTATATGAAATGCTGAAAGGTATTTAGGAAGAGGACGAAGAAAAAGTTAAAGATAAAAATTATAAACAAGTATATATATATATATCATCAAGTGAATTTAAAAATTAAGTAAATAAAAAATGTGATGAACAGAATAAACTGGTGAATATAATAGAGTCTGGGGCATAGAAAGGGAGTGGACTGACAATTCGAGGGGGGAAAGTGGTGTGGGAGTGCGGGCAAAGTCTGCACAAAAATTATACACCTATGAATGAGGACAGTGGGGGGGTGGGAACCAGATTGGGGGAAGAGGAACAATTCTACAATAATAATCTGAACAATAAAGATTTATTTTTTAAAAAACCTGATAAAATAAAACTTTAAAAAAGATAAAATAATAGTAGTAATAATACTGATTAAAAACAAAAATATAATTTAAAAGGTAAAATCAAGTGAGAAAAAAATATTAAGTAAAAGATAAAAAATAAAAATGTGCATAAGTGAAAGTCGTTCAGTATCTTTACTATTCTGTTTGGTACACCTGTTGCCTGTCAGGTAGTTAGAACTGTGTTGAAATTCCCTGTGTTCCACAACTCGTCTGTGATGTAAACCACAATCTTGTTTTCAAGCAGGCAGTATGTCTGTTTCTCAGCCTGCCTGTGGTTAAATTTACATAAGCGTCAATTTGTGATTCAACCCCTGGATGGCAGTGTTTCTGTATTGACATCCGGAGCTATAAGTCCTCTCTACCCAATATTTAGAATTTGTTTTCCCTCCTGCACTTAATACTGGTTTGGGGGTATGGACTGCCCCAGAACTGGCTTTCTGGTCTTTTCTCCCCACTCTGATTCCCAGGTTCCACTAAAACAACTTTCCTCTGCAGTCTCTGAGAATATATTTAATTGGGTTATCCTGTGTATTGGGCTTAGTAATCAAATGCAAGGATTTAAAGAGAAAAAAGAGCTAGAGTAAGTGTGACTTTTTAAAAAATATATATATATTTTATTGATTTTTCACAGAGAGGAAGAGAGAGGGATAGAGAGTTAGAAACATCGATGAGAGAGAATCATCGATCAGCTGCCTCTTGCATACCCCCCACTGGGGATGTGCCTGCAACCAAGGTACATGCCCTTGACCGGAATCAAACCTGAGACCCTTCAGTCCGCAGTCCAACGCTCTATCAACTGAACCAAACTGGTTTCGGCAAGTGTGACTTTTTTGCCCCAGCACTGTGTGGGACTCTGCTCAAGTCTCTGTGCATGTCTTTTCCCCCTCGCACAGCACAGCTAGTTTATTGGTAAAGCTTCAGGCTTCCCGCCTCAGCAACTAATTGATTTCTAGAGTTCCCTTCTATCAGCAGCCCTGTGGACCCCCTTACACGTTCTCGGACTACACTGGTCCTCCCAATGTCCTCGGATTTTGTGTGTTATGGTTGTAGGGTCCTGGGAGGTATCCGATTCTTCCCAATTAAAGGTAAGGCTAGGCTTCCAATCACAGCCAGTCTCCTCTTCAAGATGGTGCGATCTCTGCTGCAGAGCTGGTCACTCCTTGAGAGATTGCAGCAGCAGTGGAGTTTGCCCGGTTAGGGGAGCCCAGTCTGGCAGTCCCCAACAGTCCCTTGGAATATAGCTGTCCCTCACTCACAAATAGGTAGTCCCTGTACGTCCACACACTCTCCTTTCATCCTCTCACTTGCCTTCCCATGCTGCCCAGAGGCCCGGAGCAGCTGTAGCGGTGAGGAATGCCTGTGTTGTCACCATGGCACCGCACCTCATCCCTGGCCACTCAGCACCTGTATATGCAAATTCACCCGACATCTTTAATTTGCATACTCCTGTTTGGCTGATGGGTGTCACAAAGGTACGGTTAATTTGTATCTTTCTCTTTTATTAGTGTAGATTTTTTTGTTAATCTTCACCTGAGGATATTTTTCCATTGATTTTTAGGGAGTGTGGAAGAGAGAGGGAAAGCCAGAGAGAAACATTGACGTGAAAGACATTGATTGGTTGCCTTCTGCACAAACCCCTACCAGGGTTTGGGGAGGAACTTGCAACCAAGGTGTGTGCCCTTGACTGGAATCAAACCCAGGACCCTTTGGTCTGCAGGCTGAAGCTCTATCCACTGAGCCAAACTGGCTAGGGCCAAATAAGCTACTTTTGAATAGTCTCATTTCTCAAAGTTTCATATTCGATAAATACAGAATCTTAGGACCTAAGAAGTTAGAATCTCTGTTTAAATCAAAGCTTCCCAAATGATCTCATACATGTTAACATTTGAGAAGCACTATTACCGTACATCAGATTGTACGATTTTGAAGCAACAATAATATATGATTGGGTCAGATGGACCATATAATACAGGCTTTCCTATATATTAATGCATATGAAATAATATTTTAGAAGGCTCAGAAGTAATTGTGGAAAGACTTGCTTTAAAATGTTATGTCTAGCCTGGCTGGTTTAGCTCAGTTTGTTGTTGAGTGATGTCCTGAATACCTAAAGGTTGCTGATTTTATTTCCAGTCAGAGTATATGCCCAGGTTTCAGGCTTGATCCCCAGTGGAGGGCAGGTAGGAGGCAGCTGATAAATACTTTGCTCTCATATCGATGTTTTCTCTCTCCATTTCCCTTCCTTTCCCTCTAAAAAAAATTAATTTTAAAATGTTAAAAAATAAATGTTACATATAGCCAGTTTGGCTCAGTGGATAGAGCGTCAACCTGTGGACTGAAAGGTCCCAGGTTTAATTCCGGTCAAGGGCATGTACCTTGGTTGTGGGCACATCCCAGTAGTAGGTGTGCAGGAGGCACCTGATCCTTGTTTCTCTCTCATCAATATTTCTGACTCTCCCTCTCCCTTCCTCTCTGCAAAAAAGTAATACAATATATATTTTTTAAAAGTAAATAAAAATACATGTTATGACCAGAATGGCTCAGTTGATTGTGTATCAAAAGGTTGCTGCTTCAATTCCCAGACAGGGTACATACCTGGTTTGTGGGTTCAATTTCCAGTCAGAGCACATATGGAAGGCAACCAATTGATGTTTCTCATATTTCTCTCTCCCTCCCTCCCTCCCTCCCTCCTCTCTCTCTCTCTCTCTCTCTCTCTCTCTCTCTCTCTCTCTCTCTCTCTCTCTCTTTTTCTCTCTCTCTCTTGGCTCAGTGGATAGGAGCCTGTGGGCCAGAGGGTACTAGGTTTGATTCCTATCAAGGGCATGGACCTTGGTTCCTCCCCAGGGCGGTCCCTAGTCGGGACGCATGCAGGAAGCAACCAATTGTGTTTCTCTCACATTGATGTTTCTCTCTGTCGTTCCCTCTCTCTTCCACTTTCTCTAAAAACCAATGGCAAAATATCTTTGGGTGAGGATTAAAAAGGGGAAGGAGGGCCTGACTGGCGTGTCTCAGTGGTTGAGCATTGACCTATGAACCAGGAGTTCTAGGTTTGATTCTTGGTCAGGGCACATGTCTGGGTTGCGGGCTCTATCCCAACTGGGTGGGGGGGACGTGTAGGATGCAACCGATTAATGATTCTCTCTCATCATTGATTTTTATATCTCTCCCTCTCCCTGTCTCTGAAATCAATAGAAGTATTTAAAAAATAAAAATAAAGGATATTAAAATATAACATCTAAATTACATGTATTTCAAAGTATTTTGGAGGGAAATGTATTGATGTCTACATATTACTTGAAATACAGAAATTATTTCTAGGGCTCTATAGACAGAAAGATGTGTTAAAGCAAAAGTAGTAAGTTAGTAATAGTAAAGTAGTGTGGAGGGAGGACAAAGAGGGTAAAGAGGTTAAATATGTGGTGACAGAAAGAGACTAGACTTTGGTTGATCAGCACCCAATGTAGTATATACAATATATGTATTTTAAAGTTGCATACCTGAAACTTATATAGTGTTATTAAACAATGTTATCCTCAAAATTTTAATATTAAAAAATTATAAAATGCTGTGGAATATATTTAGTGGGCATATAGGAGTTGACTGCACAATTCTTTCAACTTCTCTATATACTTTTAATTTTTCATATTAAAATGTTAATGGGGAAGCCGTCTGTTATGACAATGGAAATCATATACCACACTTTATAGTTATCTTTGTATTTTCATATTTGCTTTATTTTATAATGTATTGGTATTTTGTTCCTAGAGAAGAAAAATGGCTAATACTTTTTGCAGGTGCCTTGTACCAAACATAAGGCTTTACTATTATACTTTCATGAGTTAGGTATGATTGTTAGTTTGTAGTTCAGAAAACCAAGACATAGTTTTATATACTTGCACAATCTATAGTAATCTCAGAGCACAACTTTTGAACCTGGAGTCTGACTTAAGAGTTGATGGCTACCGAATTGCACAATACCAGGGCCACCATTTTCATCATTGGCACAATAGAGAATCATTTTCTTAGAATACAAAGTGGGTAGTTCCCCTGGGATTGTATAATAAGACTGTCTGGCCTTAACCACTTGCTTATATGGCTGCCTCACTATTCTTAGACTTTTAAATATTTTTCTGATATGAATTTTGAATTGTTCCATGACTTTTTCTTGTGTTTTATTTTTAAGATTCTTGGATCTCCCAGTCAGCATCATTTCCGCGTAATCAGAAACAGCAAGGGGTGGATTCTTTTTCACCAGTGGGCTCATTTCCTCAACAGATTTGCCAGTCTTCAGCCCAACAGCACCTTATTAAACCAGCTATAATCACTTGTGCACACTGCAAAAACCCTTTACAGAAAGGACAAACAGCTTATCAACGAAAAGGATCAGCTCACCTCTTTTGTTCTACCACCTGCCTTTCCTCCTTCTCTCATAAGCGTACTCCAAAGAAACACAATGTAATGTGTAAAAAGTAAGCTGTACTTTCTACTTATGCTTGATGCTGACGTTGTAAATGTGGGTTCTGGAGAACTGCATAAATTCATGGGTAGAACTGTTGCAGAGGTGTCCTCAAATTAATTGAGCTTGAGTTATCTTCGAGTTTTTCAGAGTTCAGAGTTTGTCAGCAGGCTTATTTATACTGTCCTTACTCTTAGCAGGAAAATGGAGTGTGGGTATGGAAATAAATTGACCCTCTCCCTGCCACCAACTCTGCCTCATCAGCCATCCCCCATCTCCTTCAGTTCTACCAAGTTGCTAACACCAGTTGTTGTTTTTTAAATTCTCACTTGAGGATATGTTTTTATTAATTTTAAAGAGAATGAGAAAGGAAAAGAAAGAAGCATCAATATGAGAGACCATCAGTTGCTTAGCTCTTGTAGGCATCCCTGCCAGGAATGGAATCCACAACCTTTTTGGTGTATGGGACTATGCTCCAACTAACCTGGCCTTCCAAATAGGGTTTGCTACCACCTTTTTGATTGCTTCTAAAAGTCATTAATAAGTTTTTTCTTCCTATTTTAAGAACTCTTGGTGATGAAACCAAGAAGTAGATTTTGCTAGATCCCCAAATTATAGTTGATTCGTAGTATTAAATTATGAGAAAATAAAGACTGTCCATTATTTTTTATATATTTGAAAAGAAAATGCAGTGTTGTTAAATTGTGCTTATCCCTGTGTTTCAGAGATGCACCTATGAAAAGGACTACTGTTGTTCCTCAAGTGCAGTCGAGCCAGCCCTTTCAGGAATCCTGCAATACATACTGTGTGTCTCCCTACAAAGACAACCAGAGTCTCAGAAAAAGAATTTCAAATAAATCAAGATGTACAATCTGTGGTAAACTAACAGAGGTCTGAGTTTTTCTATCTTAAGTTATTATCTATGATAACTTTAACATGTTTTTTAAGAAATTTATTTTAGGGGGGGGGGAGGACTTCGAAATGAGAGAGAAACATCAATTGACTGACTCTTGCATGTCCCCCTATGGAGGATCATACCTGAAACCCAGACATTTGCCCTGACTGGGAATTGAACCAGTAACCTCTTGGTGCATGGGACAACCCTCAACCAACTGAGCCACACTGGCAGAGGTTCTAGAATAATTTTAAGTGTTAACTGCTATTCTGTAATCTGCCATCTGTATAATGCACATGTCCTGAATCTGCACAGTGAAGTTAAGGGAGGAAAAAGGATATGCCAGAACTATTTTATAAACAAATGTCCTATTTGCAAAGTATAAAAAATATACATCTGTTTCTATAGAATTAGATGTACTCGTTCCTAGAGTAATAGTTGTATAGTGGATTTTGTTCTTACCAGACACAGTAAATTAAAATGTAGGTTCAGGACACAAAGGAAGCAACCAATCTTAGTGCAAGAACATACAGAACATGTGAACTGAAAGTGTGTTGATAATCTCACATTTCTTAATTGGTATTGCCATCCTTCCAGTTCCAGAAAGAAGAACCATGCATATAGGCAGTCCTTTCTTAATACAGTCCGTGGTAACAGTTTGGTGTTGGTTTCTGCAGAGCCATGCAAATCCAGAATACAGTTTTATCTCAGTTACCACAGAGCTGAGCAAAGCAAGAACCACTTAGTCTTGTATATGCAGACATCATCCCAGTATGGAATACTGATTCACTTAGTCCCTCCCACAAGTTGTCTAGATCAGTGAAGCTTACAAGACAAAGAATTCTCAATCCATTTCTTTTAAGTGGGTGGTATCAAAATCCTTTAAATCCATTCATTTTCTGGAATGCTTAAGTGTTTCTGGGAAAGTTATTACTGATTTTATTGCTTTTTGTTATCTGTATCTTAATTTTGATAAAAATCAAAGAATGATTTTACATCAGTTTATAATGTTCTTTATTATCCATAAATGAGTGAAATCCTGTATTGTTTTTCTTTCATTGATTGGATTATTTCACTCAGCATAATATTCTCCAATTCCATCCAGGTTGCTGCAAATGATAAGAATTCCTTCTTTTTTATGGCAGCATAGTATTCCATTGTGTATGTACCATAATTTTGTGATCCAGTCATCTGCTGATGGGCACCTGGGCTGTTTAAAAATCCTAGATATTGTAGATTGTGCTACTATGAACATAGGGGTGCATACTTCCTTTCTGATTGGCGTTTCTGATTTCTTAGGATATAAAGAATGATTTTACAAAGAAATCAAAGATAAAAATGAAAGAATAATGAAATGAGCTGTTTAGTCTTTTTCCGGAATATTTTTTCCACTGAGAAGTTAGTTGTTTCTTTGTTTCTGTTGAAACTAGTTATCTCATTGCTTACAGTGCTAATCTGGCTTATTTATTTAGTAAGTTCTCATTTTTCTTTTAGATTCGCCATGAAGTAAGCGTTAATAATGTGATACACAAACTGTGCAGTAACAACTGCTTTAACAAGTACAGGTTGGCTAATGGTCTGATAATGAATTGCTGTGAACATTGTGGAGAGTACCTGCCTAGCAAAGGTTCTGCAAATAGTGTCCTGATGATTGATGGTGGCCAACAGATGACATTCTGCTGCCAAAGTTGTGCTAACGAATATAAACAGGTAAAATTAATTCCTTTAATAAATTTTAGATGATCAGGTATATAATAACTTCTACCTATGAGCTTACATTAATATTACAGGTTGATCTTACAATCTCATTTAGTTCCACTTTTGTCAGTCTGTCATTGAGGTCTGACATTTGAAGTGAGTATTGAAATCAATTGTGTGTTTAAAATTTTTACTTTTTTCAAACATTACAACAAGGAATTCTTTTCTTTACCATTTTGCACTCCCACTGATAACTCAGTAGTTCCAGTTACTTCACATTCTCACCAAAACTTGGTGTTTTCTGGGGGTTTTTTTTGTAAGGATCTTGTGATGTAAAATATTTTTATTTATAAGTCTTTTCTTCCTATTATTTTGTTTAAGAACTCTTGGTGATGAAACCAAAAAGTGAGTTTTGCTAGATCCCCAAATTATAGTTGATTTGTAGTATTAAATTATGAGAAAATGAAGATTGTCCATTATTTTTTATATATTTGAAAATAAAATGCAGTGTTGTTAAATTGTGTTTATCCCTGTGTTTCAGAGATGCACCTACAAAATATTGAGAGGTAAAGATACAAACATCAGTGAGAGAGAAACCTGAACCAGCTGCCTCCTGCATGCTCCCTACTGGGAATTGAGCCTGAAATGTTGGCATGTGTATGACCAGAAATCGAACTATGAGCCACACTGGTTGGGTGGTGTTATCTGTTTTGATTTAAGGTATTATAGTGGATATAAAATTTGCATTTCCTTGATAACTAATATCTCCCTTTCATCATTCATATATCATCTTTTGTAAAATGTCTATTCAAGTCTTCTGCTCATTTTTATAATGAGGTTGTTTTTGTATTATTGACTTACAGGAATTCTTTATATATTGTCGAGGCATACCTTTTATAAAATAGTGTATTGACAAGATGTTCTTCTGGGCAGTGTTTTGTCTTTTCATTTTCTTCATGTTTAGGAAAAGCCCTAGTGTTTAATTTTGTTTGAGTTCAATTTACTATTTGCTTTTCTGATTAATAATTTTTGCATTTTTTAAAATAAATATTTATTGTTCATATTATTACAAGTGTTCCTCATTTTTGTTTCCCTCCATTGCTCCCCTCCACCAGGTTCCCATCTTGTGACAGCCATCTTTGACCACATGGGGGTGGCCATCTTGTGTGTTGGAGTGATGGTTAATTTGCATATCACCTTTTTATTATATAGGGTTTTAGTTTGGAAAAAAAACAGATTTGAAAAATTATAGTTAATTTTTAAATTAAAATATTTTTGAGCTCTAGCCAGTTTGGCCCAGTGGATAGAGCATCTGCCTGTGTATTGAGGGGTCCTGGGTTCAGTTCCGGTCGGGGACACATGCCCAAGTTGCAGGCTCAATCTCTAATGAAGGCCATGCAGAAGGCAACCAATCAGTGATCCCCCTCTTATCATGGATGTTTCTCTCTTTTCCTCACCCTTTCTCTCTGAAATCAATAAATATATATTTTTAATATATTTTATTGATTTTTTTACAGAGAGAAAGGGAGAGGGTTAGAGAGCTAGAAACATCGATGAGAGAGAAATATCAACCAGCTGCCTCCTGCACACTCCCCACCAGGGATGTGCCCACAACCAATGTACATGCCCTTGACCGGAATTGAACCTGGGACCCCTCAGTCCACAGACTAATGCTCTATCCACTGAGCCAAACCGGTTTCGGCAATAAAAAATATTTAAAAATAAATAAATTTGAAAGGACACAAAACAGTAACTCCCTCTGAGTACTGTGATAGTGAGTGTATTTTCCTTATCCTCCTCCCCCTCCTCCTCTTCTTCTCTGTTTTAAAGTGTTTTTTTTAAAAAAAAGTTCTATAAGCAGTAAATTTTAAACAGTCTTATGCGGTCTCCACTTTCATTTCTCAGATATCAATATTTTTCCTGCGAGTTTTCCATTAATTATTCAGGAAGTTTTTCTGTATTTTAGGTGTAATACCAGTTTGTTCCTGGGAGCATGTCTGTGCAGCATCCACTCACTCTGCCCCTATTTTTAATATCTGAGCTCATAATCTTCAAACAGATATAAGTTTATCTTGTGAATAGCACAAGGCTTACTAGTACATATAGATTATAAATTTTTTATTCCTGAACAAACACTAGACATAAAAGTGGGAAAACAGAGTAAAAAATAAGCCTCAACCATATACCTAGACTTTCTACATTGCCAGCCACTCTGATCCTACCATGGGTGTATTAGTAGTGCACAATAGCTCATAAACAGTTTACAAACGCAAGAGTGTCATTTCTATAGAATGGAGAAGTTTTATAAATGTGCCCTTACCACCATCACCAACACATTGCAGGTGTTTTTGTTTGTGTTAATCCTTACCCAAAGATATATTTTTATTGATTTTAGAGAAACATCAATCAGCTGCCTCCCTTTCGTATCCCAACCAGGGATGGAACCTTCAATCTAGGTATGTTATGTGCCCTGAATGGGAATTGAACACTCCAACTGAGCAACCTAGCGCATCTTTGGGAGCAAAAATTAATATAAGACACTGTTTTATTTTCGGGAAAACAGGGTATCATTCAAAATAGACAGTCAAATAGATTTCCAGACAAAAAAAAAGGCTAACAGAATTCATCACTACCAAGCAAGCATTACAATACTAAAGGGATTGCTGTAAGGGATTGCTGAGAAGAAAAAAACAGAGAAAAACCTAGCCATGCAGAATTAAAATGACTATAAATAAATTTATATTATTGACATAAAATATCAATAAAAACCTTAAATGTAAATGGATTAAATGCTCCAATCAAAAGATGTAGGGTTACTGAATGGATACAAAAACGAGACTCAACTATATGCTCTTTATAAGAGACCCACCTCAAAACAAAAGACACACAGAAGATTAAAGTGAAGGGATGGAAAATAATCTTTTCATGAAAATGGAAAAAGAAAAAAAAACTGGAGTAGCAATACTCATATCCAACAAAATAGACTTTAAATTTTTTAAAATATATTTTTATTGATTTGAATGGGGAGAGAGAGAGAGCTAGAAACGTTGATGAGAGAGAAACATCGACCAGGTGCCTCTTGCACACCCCCTACCGGGGATGTGCCCGCAACCAATGTACATGCCTTTGACGGGAATCGAACCTGGGACCTTTCAGTCCGCAGACGGATGCTTTACCACTGAGCCAAACCGGCTTAGGCACAACAAAATAGACTTTAAAAGCATCATGCTAAGTGAAATAAGCCAGTCAGAGAAAGATAAATATATCATCTCACTCATTTGTGGAATATAATGAACAACATAAATTGATGAACAAAAATAGAGCCAGAGGGGGGAAAATATCCTAGAATATAATACAAATAAGTTATTTACAGATTTTTAATATTTCCTACAACTTTTGTGATATACTATGTTAATACAGTTTTGATAATATTATACTTATAATCCCTTTATTGAAATATTAATGTTTATTGCATGTAATATAAGATTTTTCTTGAATAATTGGTGTTTATTGCAGGTAACATTTAAAATCATTTTTCTTGAGATATTAATGTTTATTGCATGTAACACTATTATTTTAAGATCGTTTTTCTTAAAATATTAAGGTTTATTGCATGTAATATATTTATATTGGTTTTACTGGAAATTTAAGTCAAAGAACTTCATCAGCAAACTGAAAGAAAAGGCATGTTATAGCAACAGGTTTAATGACTATTGTAATTACATAAAATTAATTTTAAGTAAATGGAGAGATATACCATATTCATGGATTGGAAAATGTCAATACTGTGAAGATGTCAGTTTCCCCAAATGAGCTGTAGACTCAAAGTAATTATAATCAAAAGCCCAGAAGAGCCCTGGCTGGCCAGTTCAGTGCTTAGTGTCAGCCTGCACATGGGATGATTACAGGTCTAATCCCCACCACTCCCACCCTACGGAGTGCTTGTGGGAGGCAACCAATAGATATCACATGAACGTTTCTATCTTTATCGCTTCTCTTTCCCTTTCACTCTGTTTAAAAGCAATGGAAAAAAATATCCTTACTCCTTAGGTGAGCATAAAAATAAATCCCAGCCGAAACAGGTTTTGCTCAGTGGATAGAGCATCAGCCTGCGGACTGAAAGGTCTCAGGTTCAATTCTGGTCAAGGGCATGGTACCTTGGTTGTGGGCACATCCCCAGTGGGGAGTGTGTAGGAGGCAGTTGATCGATGTTTCTCATCGATGTTTCTGACTCTCTGTACCTCTTTCTTCCTCTCTGTAAAAAATCAATAAAATATATATATTTTTAAAAATCCCAGTAGTATGTTTAATTGACAAACTGATTATATATATGTTGGTTTTTTTTATTTCAGGGAGAGGGAGATAGAAGCATCAATGATGAGAGAGAATCATTGTTCAGCTACCTCCGGCATGGCCCCCACTGGGTTTGAGCTTGTCACCCGGGCATGTGCCCTTGACCAGAATCAAACCTGGGACCCTTCAGTCTGTAAGCCTTAGCTCTATCCACTGAGAAAAACCAATTAGGGTGACAAATTGATTTTAAAACGCAGTAAGGTTATAAAAAGAAAAAATAACTTGAAAAAAGAAAAAATTGGTTGAAACTACCTGATTTCAAAGCATAGGCTAAATAAAGAAAAGTACAGGTCAAGGAAAGAGAAAAGAATGCAGGTTTTCTTTTCCAGACTTTTGATAAAGATATAAGGCAACAAAGAAGAAATACTCTTTCCAATTAATGGTGTTGGAACAAATGGGTAGCTACATGGAAAAAAAAACAAACAAACAATAGTGAGCCAAGGTGGGGCTAATGTCAGCTAACTCAAAAGTTAGGTAAAATGGAGCTCTGGGGACAGGTTTAGGGGTTAAGCTGCCACTGCCCATTGCTCTTCTTTTTTTTTTTTTTTTTTTTTTTTTTTTTTTTTTTTTTTTTTTTTTTTTTAATATATCTTATTGATTTTTCTTACAGAGAGGAAGGGAGAGGGATAGGGAGCTAGAAACGTCGATGAGAGAGAAACATCGACCAGCTGCCTCCTGCACACCCCCTACTGGGGATGTACCCACAAACAATGTACATGCCCTTGACTAGAACCGAACCTGGGACCTTTCAGTCCGCAGACTGACACTCTACCGCTGAGCCAAACGGGTTTCGGCCCATTGCTCTTCTTGTTATAAGTCTCATCAGATCCATTAGAGTTTAGGAGATATATGCCTGTGAGGGAATAAGAGAGAGAGGGGACAGGCTTTGGCCTGCTCTGGGGAAGGAGAACACACCAACTCTTAGTTTCTTAAGCTCCATTGTATAAATTGTTCAAGTTATAACATAAAACATTATTGTAGCTATCAGGCCTTCAATTCCTATTGTATACATCTTTGTTCTTTTTCTTCTTTATTTTGCATTTTTATTTTATTTACTTCAAAGTCAGTAATGTGTCTTTTTATTAAATGGAATTATACAATATGTGATACTTTGTGACTGGCTTTTATATACTTACCTGTTTTCAAGGTTCAGGCGTGTTGTAGCACATATCTTGGCTTCACTTTTTATTGTCAAAGTAGAGGCCTGGTGCACAAATTCATGCACTGTTTGGCCACCTGATCCCAATTGGCCCTGTTTGGACTGGGCCAGCCGGGATGTTGGCTGGCCAGCCCCACCCAACACAAACTAAGAGTTGGTATGTTCTCCCTCCCCAGCTGAGGAAAGGAGCCACGGGCAGTTGGCCTGCTGGCCCCACCCCCTGGTCGAATTGCCAATCAACCTCCCAGTGGAGGGGACAATTTGCATATTAGCCTTTTATTATATAGAATAATTTTCTATTGTATGACTAATACATTTTAATTTATCCATCAGTAATGGACAATTAAATTATTTCTACTTTTTGCCTATTAGGAATAAAATTGCTATGAACATTTTTTTAAAATCTTTGTGTGGACATATATTTTTATTTTGGCATTGCTAGGTTATATAATATGATAACTCTCTTTAACTTTTGAGTAATTTCCAGACTGTATTTTCCAAGCAGATAGCACCATTTCACATTCCCTCCATCACCTTAGGAAGACTCCAGTTTTTCCACATCTTGTTAGTACCCGTCTTTTCATTGTAGTCATCTTAATGGGTATGAAATAGAATGTGGTGGTTTTTATTTGTATTTCTTCTTCGATGACTAATGATGAACATCTTTTGGTTGCTTACTGGGCATTTGTATATACGTTATTTTTTTTAATGTTAATAATTCTAAGATAAAAGTATAATCTGTTTCTCCTTAGATATTGGAAACAGAATCAAAGAAAATATCCATATCAGAAAACAGGAAAAGAAATGCTATTAGAGAAGAAAATGAGAGGAAATTATATGGATCATTGAATACACTTTTGGAAAAAATAGAAGGAGTACCAGGAAAAAAGGAAAAGATTTCAGAGCCACAGGTATCATCAGAGTGTAAGATAGAAGCATCACTAACCAAACAGGATATGAATTTACCTGCCTCTGTGTCCATCATAGATAATACATTTCAAAAGCAAATGGAAGATAAAAAATCTGAAGACTCCACTCAAGCAGTTGTGCTTTCTGCAGATCCAGGCACATGGCCCCGAATTTTAAATATCAAACAACGAGACATTCTTGTTGAAAATGATCCCCCTCAAGTAAGAAATTTTAACTTTCCAAAAGACAATACAGGGAGGAAGTTTTCAGAAACTTATTATACACGAATTCTTCCAAATGGTGAAAAAACCCCTAGATCCTGGTTGCTTTATTCAACCTCAAAAGATTCTGTGTTTTGTCTATATTGCAAACTCTTTGGAGAAGGAAAAAATCAACTGAAGAATGAGAATGGGTGCAAAGATTGGCAGCATTTATCACATATTCTTAGCAAACACGAAGAAAGTGAAATGCACATCAACAATAGTGTTAAGTATTCAAAATTAAAATCTGATGTGAAAAAAAACAAAACTATTGAAACTGTAGAACACAAAGTACATGAAGATGAGACCAAAGAAAGTGAGCTGTTGCTGTACACATGATATACCTGATAGGATCATATGTTCACTCACAGGAGATCTGTACCTCACAGTCAATACCATTGTGTTCTAAGGCTCCTACAGAGAGTAACTCAACAGTCCATTTGCAGTAAGCATAATAACAAAGAAATAATTTGTTTTCCAAATTCTAAAGGTATTTTGATTCAATAGGAATTAATGCAGGTTTCAGTAAACTAAGTTGTTAATTTTTTCAGTCAATTCTCATATTTATAAAATGTCATTTAATAGGTTTGGTTAATTTACTATTCTGAGTAGAAAAACAGAAAGAGGTAGAAAAAGGCTTAAATTTATCAATACCAGTTTAAACAAAATACTTATGTGAACAAGTGTTATAATCATTATTATTAAAGTAAAAACATTCAGCAGCAGTCTAAGAATAGAATGTGATGTGAAACTATGGATTTTTGCTCTTCAACCAAATACTTGTGATTTTTTGGGGGGGTTAAACCTTTTATTTTAGGAAAATAGCATCATTTGTTAAATAAATGTTTGAGGTGGTTAATTTGCATTTTATTGGTTTTGATTTAATTTGTAAATATTTTAGCTTTTCTTGTTTTGTGAGAACTGTAAGCATAAGTACCTATTTTTATCTTGGTATACATATAAGAAATACAAAAATAAAAATGTATTAAGTTAACCTTTAGGTATTGTGGCATTTTTTTCCTTTGAAGGAGACTTTCTGCTTGAAATCTGAAAAATATTCATGAAAAGTAAGGATCTCATTTTCTCAGATGGTCAATCAATGTTCCTATCACTGTATATTTAGTAATTCTCTATTGTTTCTGGTTTCTGATAACAATTTTTACCAGATATTAACTTCTGTTTTAAAATAATATATTTTTATTGATTTCGGAGAAGAAGGAAGAGGGAGAAATAGAAACATCATAGATCAGAGAGAATCATTGATTGGCTGCCTCCTGCACACCCACACTGGGGATAGAGCCCACAACCCATGTATATATCCTGACCAGGAATTGAACTGTGACCTACTGGTTAATAGGTTGACGCTTAAATACTGACCCATGCCAACTGGCTAAATTTTTTTTTTAATTTCTTTATTGATTAAGGTATCACATATTTGTCCTCAACCCCCCATTCCAATCCCCCACCACCACCACTTATGCACCCACCCCCCTCTTGTCCTTGACATATTCTTAGCAAACACATATGAGCCTATTGGTTAGGCTCATATGTGTGTACATAAGTCCTTTGGTTGATCTCTCCCTTTTATCCCCACCGTCCCTTTGAGGTCCAACAGTCAGACTCGTGGCTCCTTATCTCTGGGTCTGTTCTTGTTCATCAGTCTGTGTTGTTTATCATTTCCCCTAGATGAGTGAGATCATGTCCTAAGGGAAATATAAGAATCAAAAATGAGACAAGCAATAATTGTTCTGAAAGGCATATGAATCAGTCTGTAGTGAGCTGCTTTCTGGGCCACCAGTTCTTTTGAGACCCAATTTCAATGTCAAACAGTCCCTTATGTGTACATGTCAGCAATGGTATTTCAGTTCTGGATGGTGAGCAAATGGTGGTAATGCAGGTCCAATGCTCTCTGGTTTGGTCCTGGGCAACCTGCAGTGATACACAGCTGCTGACTGCTATTATGGTAAGGTGTCATCAGCGACTTCCATCTCTGGACTGCTTCTCTTTGTCTTCATGGTTGGAGTAGTCCTGTCAATTTCTCTCTCTTGCCATAATGCAAATGGTCTTGGAGTTGTTTTCTGAAAATATACAAACATATTCTCGACCAAAAGATAATAAAAGAATATTTTCTATAAATTTGACTTGGGGTCCTTTTTCATTTTTTGCCCAAATGATTTTCCTCTGGCTTGTTTTGACTCCATGTGTGTTTTTCATGGGTGTCTTGCTGGGCTAAATTTTTATGTATACTTCAGCTTCTCTTAAGGCTTTTCCTGCCGAAGCTGGTTTGGCTCAGTGGTAGAGCATCGGTCTGCGGACTGAAAGGTTCCGGGTTCGATTCCAGTCAAGGGCATGTACATTGGTTGCGGGCACATCCCCGTTGGGAGGTGTGCAGAAGACAGCTGGTTGATGTTTCTCTCTCATCGATGTTTCTAGCTCTCTATCTCTCCCATCCTCTCTGTAAAAAAATCAATAAAACATATTTAAAAAAAAAAAAAAAAAAAAAAAAGGGCTTTTCCTAGGAAACAAAATAGCATATAAGCAGAAAAAGGCACATTCTTATTGGTGGGACTAACACTCAAGAGTACTTGACTGTAAGTGAGGTCTGTATTAGATCCCACAGGGAAATCCTTCTCATTAATTTATAAACCTTTTTTGTTTGTTTGTTTTTGTTTTTACAGTGATCATTTCAGTCTTTTAGACTTGGATCCAAATGAGTCTTTGGGATGTTTCAAAAAATCTAGTTTATTCTGAGGATATTATTATGAGGATATTCTAGAAAATATAGCAGGTAGTTCTGAAGTTTCTTTACAAAAGATTATTGGGCTCATTATTTCATTAAAGCTTAGAGTTAACTGAATGACACATTTGTGTGTTTTTTTGTTTTTTGTTTTCTTATTTTTAAATAAATCTTTATTATTCATATTATTACAAAAGTTCCTCATTTTTCCCCCCTCCATCAGGTTCCCACCCCACCCTCTGCCCTTTCCCCACCCCCATTGTCCTCATCCATAGGTGCACAGTTTATATTTAGTTTCTTCCCGCACCCCCACTCCCCTCTTCCCCGAGAATTCTCAGTCCACTCCCCTTCCATACCTGATTCTATTATATTCAACATTTAATATTGCTCATCATGTTTTTTAATTCCCTTGGTTTTTAGATTCCACTTGTTGATAGTTACATATTTGTTATTCATAATTTTTATCTTTATCTTCTTCCTCTTCGTAAGCAACCCCCTTCAGCAATTCATATAATTCTGGTTTGGCACTGATGAACTCTTTTAGCTTTTTTTTTTATTTGTGAAGCTCTTTATCTGGCCTTCGATTCTGAGTGATAGCTTTGCTGGGTAGAATATTTTTGGCTGTAGGCTCTTGTTATTCATCACCTTAATATTTCTTGCCATTCCCTTCTGGCCTGCATGGTTTCTGTTGAGAAATCAGCTGGCAATCGTATGGGTGCTCCTTTATAGGTAACTACCTGCTTAACTCTTGCTACCTTTAATATTCTCTCTTTGGCTTTTGCTCTTGGAATTTTAATAATGATGTGTCTTGGTGTGGTCCTCTTTGGATTCCTTTTGTTTGGGGTTCTGTGTGCTTCCTGGACTTGTAAGTCTATTTCTTTCACTGGGTGGGGGAAGTTTTCTTTCACTATTTCTTTCAATATGTTTTTGGTATCTTGCTCTCTCTCATATTCTGGGACCCCCATAATTCTGATGTTGGTTCGCTTGAAGTTGTCCCAGAGGTTTCTTACACTATCTTCAACTTTCTGGATTCTCTTGTCTTCTTACTTCTGTGGAGGAGTGTCCTCTGGCTCTTTGTATTCCAAATCTTTGACTTGATTCTTGCGATCTTCCATTCTGTTTTTAGGATTCTGTATAGTATTTTTTTATTTTAGACAATGTGTTCTTTATTTCTAGTTGATCCCTTTACATATCCTCATAGGTCTCATTTATTTTATTGGCCTTTTGTATGAAATTCTTGAAAACCTTATAAGCGAGGTTTTGAAGTCTTATATCCAGTTGCTTTTTGCCCTCCATTTCTTTCGTTTGTGATCTGTTTCCTTGTCTGGGCATTCTACCTGCTTCCCTAAATTGGGAGGGTGGCTTTGTGTTTTAGGTGTCCTATATGGTGCAGTGGGTCAGCCTCCCAGTTATCTTAAGTGGACACTCTTGGTGCACCCCTTTGTGGACTGTGTACAGCCTTTTTTAGTTAAGTTTTAATTGTTGTTGGTATCAGTGGGAGGAATTGACCTCTAGGCCAATTGGCTGTGAGGATCAGCTGTGCCTATACACAAAAGCCTCTGTGCTCAGCTTGGATGGGGCAGAGTTTCAGGGTGGAGCCTACAGCCTTGGCTTCCTGTCAGCCGCACCCTATGAGGTTCCTGAGTCTCATGTTCCTAAGTCTCCTTTGGTAGTCGGTGCTTTGGCACTCACTGCAAGCACCTCTGAGAGAAAGATGCCCTCGAGTTTCGCCCACTACCGGACAGTCTAGTCTCTCCCCCAATAAGCCCGGAACTGGGACAGTGCTGTTGGAAGCAGGGTTCAGTGCAGTCCAGAGCTTTTGTCTCCTTCCCGCCAGGGCAATCCAGCGGCACAGTCAACAGTCAGTCCTCTGCGCGCAATGTGCAAGACTCCAGGGCTCTGCCTTTCGCCGCTCCCCTGAGTTTCCGCCTTACAGCCTAGAATCCCTCTGTATGAGCCTGGGACCAAAGGGTCTCACCCGGAACTGGGGATCAGTGCAGTCGGAATTGGGGTTCAGCATAGTCCAAAGCTTTTATCTTCTCCCCGCTAGGGAACGCCAACCAGGCACTCAGCCGCCCTTCCTCTCTGGCTCTGTTCTCTCCCCATGTGTGCACCGTGTCTCCGTACCTTAGGCTTTTACAGCTCCTCTGATTTTCCTTCTGGTTTTCTATTTCCTTCTAGTTGTAAAATTTTCAGTCAGTTAACTTCCCTGTAGTTCTGGATAATGCCCACTTTATATTTTAGTTTTATTTTTTGAAATTGTTGGGTGAGGCTGCAGTTAGGCATTTACCTATGCTGCCATCTTGGTTTCTGAATGACATTTATTACATGATTATATTAGACTAGGTGTCCAGTGCATGAATTTGTGCACCTTGAAAGGAACTGTGGGCTGCAAGGCTGCAGTGGGCACATGGGCAGATCTTGGCCCATCCTTCATGCTCCTGCCTGGCCCCTCCCACCGTGTCCCTGGTCCCCTGTGTGCTGGCTCCTGCTGCCACTGCTCCCACATGCTGACAGCGCTGGCACTGCTTGCACCTGTTGATGGCATGGAGTGATTGGGGCCAGCACCAGCAGTAGGTGAAGCGGGGCTCGTGTCATTAGCAGGTGCCTGCTGCCCCTATCGCCCCTTAGGAGCAGGGGGAGATGGAGAAGCCCTCAAGGGAAAAGGGGCCAGCAGCTGCCACTCGTACCCACTAATGACGCTGAGTGATCGGGACCTGTGCTGGACCCTGGCAGTGGGTATGAATTCACAACTGCAGGTGCTCAAATTCTTTCATTTAGTCAGCATAACACACATCTATAAATCACCATTAACCCTTCATATAGTAATGAGTTAAATGCGAAAAATTCAAAATTTAGCTGCTCAATTTATCTGTGTTCACTGTAAATTTCTTTCAATTTTTGTTATGTCTGAAGTTGATGTTTTAAAATTTTTTATTGATTTTTTTACAGAGAGGAAGGGAGAATGATAGAGAAACACTGATCAGCTGCCTCCTACACATTCCCCACTGGGTATGTACCTGCAACCAAGATACATGCCCTTGACCAGAATCAAACCCGGGACCCTTGAGTCTGCAGGCCGACGCTCTATCCACTGAGCCAAACCGGCCAGGGCTGTCTGAAGTTGGTTTTTTGTTGTTGTTTTTTAAAATATATATTTTATTGATTTTTTACAGAGAAGAAAGGAGAGGGATAGAGAGTTAGAAACATCGATGAGAGAGAGACATCGATCAGCTGCCTCCTGCCCACCCCCTACTGGGGATGTGCCTGCAACCAAGGTACATGCCCTTGATCGGAATCAAACCCGGGACCTTTCAGTCTGCAGGCCGACACTCTATCCACTGAGCCAAACCGGTTTTGGCTGTCGGAAGTTTTTGATAATGAAATGTTGAGGGGTAAAACCAACTGTAAATTCAGGAGATGATAAAAGTAAGTATTTCTTGGC